TGTCTTAGGGATGTACTGTAACTACATGATGCCTTCCCTGTAGCCTACTCTTTGGTACTTACTTCCTCAAGCAGGACGATTCCTACTTTGATTGGTATGTGTTCACATGGATAGAGCTTCTGTAATTTAATAAGGTTATCTGGTGGCTTAATTTATAAACATAGCAAGTATATTTTAATAGGCAGAGATTTCGTTTCTCAAATTACCCCTTTAAAATATTCACACTCAATTATTGTGCTGACACATAAAGTGGACGATATATGATTTGATAATGAAACAGCAAATTAAAATCTGTGCAAGGCAAAGAATATGGAGCTGGAGCCCTACTCGAACCTGGACACGCTGCCTGATTAAATGCTTACTGGGCGATTTGGTAAGGGGCCCTTTCCTGATCTGATAACTGCCACCGAGAAGACAAATGCAGAGTCAATCTGCAAATACTTAATCCCCCAGAAGGCAGATTAAGTGATAATTGACCTATATAATCCATGTATCATCTCCAGTCAAATGTTCCCTGGGCCTGGTTCACAATGACACGGGGCCTGCAGAAAGCCAGCGAGGATGCAGCACCACCACCAATGTGGATTCTATCCAAGTTCGAGATGGCTTTTTAATCATTCATCTCCGAGCCTGTGAGGTTTAAGCAGATGAATTCACCCTAAGCACATCTCTTTTAATCCTGATTTTCTTCTCAGTCTGTGTCTTCAAGAAGTACAAGGAGGAAAGAAAATAAATTAATTTTTGTTTAGACCTTGAAATCTTAGGTGTCTCTCTTGATCGGCTCTCTAATTTCAAAAAGCATGTTTTTGTTTTGGGGAAGATGTTGAATTAATCACCACAGAAGGGAGGGGAAAAGCCATCTGCATGATTTATGGACACTCAAGCTTTAAATCACTGTATGTGAGTTATTTCTTGGGCTTGCACGTTCCTTCTTAGCTGCTGCTTGAGGAATATGGAGTTTATTTCTTCTCCATGTTTTATGTTTTCTTTAAAAGTCAGCAATAATTTTCAAGGAGGCCAAGCTTCCACTTGAGTCTGACAGCAATCTGATTCTCTTTTAAAATTCCAGCATCTTTAATATAATTTGAATTGTATATATTGGGACACTCTCTTTTAACTCTCTGAATCTTTTGTTTCAAAATATTATAAACTGCTAAGTTTCAGCAACTGAAAACAGTTTACAACTACATGTCATGTTTTAGAAAAAAATTACAAAATGCAGATGAAAAAGTGTAGGGCTGCATACTGGAAATATTATGGGGGGCAGTCTGAGGATTCTTTTCCAATCAGCACTTGATTTTGGACTGGTTAGCTTTTTCTTAGGGACATGACTGAGAAAGGTGATAGTCTTTTACAGGGCTCTGTGAATCAATTATTAATAAATAGTAAATTTTCACTGCATTAAGATAACCAGGTTAGTCAACGTTATGTCTGAATTGAATTTCTTCACTAAATCTACAGAATGCCTGTATTTTTAAAAAAATTACTGAAGATGAATTTGGAAAGCTGCTCTGAAGTTACATAATCAAATAGATAAAAATGCAGAACATTAAATATAGAGCCCCAAATGCTATACCGATAATCTCCCACAAGAACCCAATTCCAGCCAAAAGTACAATGACGAGGCAGAGAGAAAACCAGCTCAGAGGGAGAACACTGAGATAGGAGCCTGGTTAAAAGAGAAGACGCCCTCATTCAATGACCAGCTATTAGTCCAAATATTCTCACATACAAACACATATT